GTGACAAAGTCACTAATTTGCTAGATTTTTTTAAAAATTAAAATAAAATAAGAAATGATGAAGGGAGTAGTCATTGGAAGAGTGTAAGGAGATTACTAATTATGTGAGAAAAAATATTAAAAACTCTTAATTTTTTAATTTTTTTCCAAGATTGAAAGGATTTAATGGTCTAATTGAAAGTAAAAACCAAAAAAAAATAATATCTCCCTTATATATTGATAGAGATATATTATCTCTCTTTTTAAAAAAGTAATATACAGTGAAGTCTATTTAATAGACTTTATTTTTTTATGATTATTAATAACCTATGTAGTAAGTTTTAATTCTCTCTCTCTTTGGATCTAAACTATATTTTGGATGAGGAATTTTAATGGAGTAATTCATTTATTTGAAGAATTTCAAATTCTTTGAGGTGAAATACTTTGTTTGGATGGAGAGTTTACAAAGAATTTGAAATCCAAGCATTTGTGAAATTCCTTGAAATAGTAGAATTTCAAATTCTCCCAAAAAAAGTAAGAATTTAAAATTCCTCATATTTTTTTCCCTTATTTCACTTATATATTTTATCTCATATCTTCATATTTTTAATTATTGAATATTCAAAAATACTTTAAAAATTATTAAATATTATCTAATATTAATTTTTAAAATTACTAAATATTTAAAATTTGGTTAATTTTTATTTTTATAAAATTTTGTTTAAAAATCTCAACATATAAATATATTTTTAAAATCAATTTTATTATGATAGAATCAAATTATCATATCCAAATTAAAAATTAAAAATTTTAAAAAAATTGAATTTGACTTATCCAAACAAAATATTTTAAGAATGATAGAAATTGAAATCAAAATAATTCAAATACCAATAATTTTAAATTTCTTAAATTTGTAAAATTCTTCGTCCAAACACACCAAGGGTGTGTTTGGGTTACCATTCGATTGAACGCAATTTACTTCTTTTTTTTCTTTTCAATCTATCAGTGTTGTTGTTTATTTGTTTTGTGTTTTGAAATGTGTAAATCAATGTTTGATACCTTTCTAACAACAATCCAAACACACAATAAATCAATCCTAGACTTGATATGTCTGTTGGGCTTAGATAAAGGAAAAGTTGAAGCTTCGGACTCTAATGGACGGGCTTCAGCTAAAACTACAAGGTTGATGATATATACACCTCCATTTTTTTATACATACACCCCCTTTTTAAAAAAAATATTAAATTCTTAAATTATCCTTAATATTATTTGAAATAAAAAAATTATTCTGAAAAGTGTTTTTCAAAGGTTGATGATATATACACCTCCTTTTTCCTATAAGTACACCTCCTTTAAAATAAATAATTAAAATTTTAAAATATTCTTAATTTTTTGCTTTTTTAAATTTTACATTTACAATATTTAATTTAGTACTTTTTTTTTACAGATCTTTCTTTTTTCTTCTTTTTTTTCTTTTTTTAATTTTTACATGCACCCTTTATCTTTCCTTCACCCCACCTATTTTGGTAGCATGTAAAAATTGAAAGAGAAAAAAAAAATGTGTGAAAAAAAAGAAAAAAGTAGAAAATTGAAAGTTAAAGGTATAAAATTAAAAAATTATATAATATTTTATAATTTTTTTAAAAAAATAAAGAAGGTGTACTTATAAAAAAAAAACAGGAGGTGTATATATCATGAGCCTTCTGAAAAGAACTTTCCGTCAGAATAATTACGAAAAGTACTTTTCAGAATACTAAAATTACTATTCCGGAAATAACTTTCCGTCAAAATAATTATGGAAAATACTTTCCGTAACACTAGAATTACTATTGCGAAGAATTCTTTCCGGAATATTAACAGTGTGTGTATTTGTTACCATAATTCCGGAAAGAACTTTCTGCAATAGTAATTTTAGTGTTACGGAAAGTACTTTCCAGAATTATTCCGACGGAAAGTTATTTCCGGAATAGTAATTTTAGTATTCCGGAAAGAACTTTTCATAATTATGTACAAATACACTTCCGAAAAAAATTTTCCAGGATAATTTTTTTTTATTTCAAATAATATTAAGGATAATTTAGAAATTTAATATTATTTTTTTAAAAAAGGGGTGTATGTATAAAAAAATGGAGGTATATATACCATCAGCCAAACTACAACGTTTTGTATCTTCAGCCTACTTTCAGCAAATACAGTTGGGCCCAATTAAACAAAAAAGGAGATTAGTATCTATAAAGTGATACTGTTCCAAATTAATTATAAATGATTGATATTTTCACCATAAGATTATTTTAAAATTATTATTATATATATATATATATAACTTATCTATATTAATATATGTATTTTATTTTTTATATTCATGTTATATATTCTTTTAATATTGTGTACTTTAATAATTTAGTTTCTGCCCGTAGTTATAATGATAATATTTAATATGATAACTAGATCGTTACACATATGGTAGTATAATTATATTTTATAATATACCATAGTGTTATTAAGTAATTTAAATCATTATATTCACAACTTTTTTACGGGAAATAAAAATATTTACTTTTATTATTAGTTTACATGTCCAAATCGTGACACGACATTTATTATAATTTTTTTAACTATGTATTAAAGTATATATTGGTACTATTAATTAATTTAAATCAGAGTATGTAATTGTATTATTATTTTTTGAATAAATCTTAAAAATCATAACAATTATAATTTTACTAATCACGTATTAGAATATATATATTATTAATATCAATTAATTTGAATAATAACATATATTTATATGGTTAGTTTGAATATTCTCATTATAAAAGGAAAATAAAAAGTTTGAAAAATATTGAGTGCTCTTACATAAATAATATTAACATTAAAAAAGTCCACTTATAAACAATAATTTCACTAATAAATTAAACTATATAAATTCACAAATTTTCCTTTTTCCATTAGCAAAATAAGATTGCTTGCTTTCTATATTTTAATTTATACGAAATATAGTTCTATGAAATCATAATGGTTGTATAAAAGTATCTAAAACAAGATTGTTTTCCATACATTAAAAAAAAATCCAAAGAAAAAAATATATGCAAAGAAAAATATAATAATCGTCGTTGTGCCAACGTTGCTCTCTTTACCGCCGGCACAGCCGCACACAGCACCAATCCTTGGTCAATCTCAAATATACGGACACACATATCATTGGAGATGTCGAATTTCCCTATCTTTGCCTCTTAATTACATGGAAGAGACCGATTTATATTTAATTATAATTCGTACAATATTTTTGTTATATAATTTTTTAAATTATTAATAATATCTCTTTATAAAAATAAAGTGATAGGAAAATATAGATATAAACATGAATTGTACAATTTTTATTATATGTTTTTCCACTCCCTCTTTGGCACATTAATTGAGATTAAATTCTTCCATGGGTTCATTAGAAAAGGATTTCATCTGCCTAATAATTACTACTGACATTTTTATGTACGTATTATTAGTAATAATAACAAAGTATTTTTTATATATAAAAACTATAATTTTAATAAATATATTGCTTTTAGTTACTATTATAGAACAATTTATAAAAAAAAATTAAAAAAAAAATATAAAAAAATGAAGATATAATTATTTTATTTAAATGTTAAAACAATAATAAATTTGAAAATAAGGAAGTACATTTACTTCATAATTATTTGATCATTAAAATAAAAAACAATGTATTGAATGAAAGAGTGAGTTATTTTAATTAAATATTGCAATTAAAAAAGCGAGACATAAAATTAATATATAGACTTATTTATTTATATCATAACACTTATCATGTGACAACATTTATTATGATTTATGAGAAGAATGTGGTAGGGTTAAAAAGAATGCATGTCCGGCAGAAATGTTAAAGAAAAGATAGATGTTGGGGGAAATGAAAGAGAAAGAGTCAAAGGCGTCGCACTCTCGCGATGTATCTACTCCAACAAATAACAAAGTGTAGTGGTGTCTGACCGGTAAACTATGTTTCCCGCGTCATGATTACCCGTTCCAACGAATAACCAACCATATTCTTTTCTTCCCCTTCCCATCCCCGTTTTCTTCCCTACCACTCCAACTTCAACTCCCACACCCTTTCAAACCCTAACACCATCACATTCACTCATTCCCCTCCTCCTAACCATGTCAATGGCCCTCTCCCTTCTCTTCCCTCTCCTCTTCCTCTCCCTCCCCCTCTCCCAAACCCAAACACCCCCCAAAGGCTTCCTCATCGACTGCGGGGCCCACTCCAAGGCCCAATTCGACGACCGCGCATGGCTCCCCGATTCCGCCTTCATCTCTTCGGGCCAGCCCAGGAACCTCACAACCCCTGGCCTCTCCCCCACTCTCCGCACCCTCCGCTCCTTCCCTCGCCAAGTCAAGAAGCACTGCTACAAAATTCCCGTGTATCGCGGAGCAAGGTACTTGGTGCGCTCCACCTACTTCTACGGCGGAGTCAACGGCGCTGACCACCCCTCGCCGCCCGTCTTTGACCAGATCCTCGACGGCACCCTCTGGACCGTCGTCAACACCACCGAGGGTTACGCCAACGGGGACTCCACCTTCTACGAAGGGGTTTTCCTGGCTCAGGGGAAGATCATGAGTTTCTGCATCGCCTCCAATACTTACACGGATTCTGACCCGTTTATATCTGCTTTGGAATTGCTCATTCTCGGGGATTCTCTCTACAACACCACGGATTTCACTGCCTTTGCCCTTGCCTTGTTTGCAAGGCACAGTTTTGGATACTCCGGACCACCTATTAGGTCAGTACCATTTAATGTTTCTCCTTTCCTTTTCATTGCCCTCCCCAAACTTAATGCCTTTTCTTCATTTTCTGTTTTTTGAATAAAGTTAATCAAGGTTTTCCCCCCCTTTTCTTTTTGTGTTCCCCTCCTTGGTGAGAAAGCAAAGTAACCTTTAAGAGTGAGAGATAATTGTGAATGAAATTCCCAATAATTACAATTGATTCAAAAGCGAGGTATAGTAGCTAAAGTCTCCTTGAATATAAGTTAGAAGCGCTCCGGAGAGTTTTTCTACCGAGAATAATGAGAATATTTTTTGGGAGAGAAACTCTCAAAAATACTTTTAAACTTGTATAAACACACACTCTAATTCTCGATAATTACACTCTTTTCATGAAGAGTAATGTTGTTTGTGTAACAATTTGTAAAAGAAATAAATTGTGCCACAAAGGTAGAGGTTTTACAAGTTAGCTTAAATTAGTTAATTTTAGACTATGAAAAAACTCATTTCATTTTTTTTTCTCTTAGAAGTGTTTAGTATTTAATGATGTGAAGCAGATGTATAGTGGGAAAAAATAGAGTTGTATAAATGTTGTATGATTGTATGAATAACATACCTTTTTTTGTTCAGGTATCCTGATGATGGGTTTGACCGTATCTGGGAGCCTTTTGGGCTTAGTAATTCTACCAAGGCAAGCACTGAAAATGTTTCTCTTTCTGGTTTTTGGAATCTTCCACCTGCGAAAATATTCGAGACACATATAGGATCTAATCAATTGGAATCTTTGGAACTGAGATGGCCTACAGCGTCACTTCAAAGCTCCAAATACTACATCGCTCTATACTTTGCTGATGACACTGCTGGATCAAGAACTTTTAACATAAGTGTAAATGGTATAACTTATTACCATAATTTGAATGTGATCCCATCAGGCGTTGTTGTATTTGCCAACCAGTGGCCTCTTTCTGGGCCAACAACAGTAACTTTGACCCCTGCTCCTAGTTCGTCCTCAGGCCCCTTAATTAATGCTGGTGAAGTTTTTGGTGTGCTGCCACTTGGAGGAAGAACTACAACCGGAGATGGTATAACTTTTTATTTCATGTTTCTTTGCTTAACTTTGGGTCATTTCTAAAATAATCTCAAGGCCACAACATTGCATCTATAACCATACTGCCTAGCAATATATTCTTTATTTCAAACGCATTCCAATATGTTCCATCGTAGTTGTACCATGATTGTATGTTAATTATGGACATGGAAGGTTTTTAAAGGGGGAACTTTCTTTTGACAGTTATTGCTTTGGAAAAGGTGAAAGAGAGCCTCCAAAATCCTCCACTTGATTGGAATGGTGATCCTTGTATGCCCCGACAGTACTCATGGACTGGCATCACATGTTCTGAAGGACCACGTATCCGTGTAGTGACTTTGTAAGATCAGACTTGAGTAGTTACAGCTCATAATACTGTCCTTTCAATCCTATTATGCTGTGTGAATGAATAGCTTACTCGTGATTTTCTGTTCTGTTCAGAAACTTGACAAGTATGGATCTTTCAGGATCTTTATCGCCTTTTGTTGCCAATATGACAGCTCTGGCTAACATGTAGGTTCTCAAGTTTACATATATTACTTGGTGAAATTTAGTATTTTAATTTTTCTGATCAGCAAACCGTTGTCTTCTTCAGCTGGCTGGGAAATAACAGTTTGTCTGGGCAGATTCCTGACCTCAGTTCACTAAAGAATTTAGAGACACTGTAAGTTTTTTCTCTGTGTGTGTACTTTTTAAAATCTGATATGATGGTTTATCTTTTAGCATATAGTTAATCACATAATTGGCTGTAGCTAGTCTACCATTTTTCATTCCATGGAAACAGTTTTTTTTTTTTTTTTGCAATAGTTCTTTTTATCCTGAAGCAACTTGTCTAGTTGTGTTCTATAGCAATTTGCACCATCCAAATGTTTAAAATCTAAGAGAACTTTAATGTCTTCGTGGAGCTCAGTATTTGAATATTGTTATTGTATTTTAAGGCACTTGGAAAACAATCAATTCAGTGGAGGGATTCCTTCATCCCTAGGGGACATCAGCAGCTTACAAGAAGTGTAAGTTGAACCCTATTCTAGATATACTACGGGTTACAAACAAATTGCGTTTCCGTGCTATTTCAATGTGTGAAAATTTTCTCTCTAAGCCCCCGCCCCCCATTCTTTTATCCCAAGCACTTTCTGATATATAATCTAGAGTGTAGAAAACTAAGTCAACATATACAACTATATTGTCTACGCAATTGTAGGTTAGAGAAATCAAGTCTGTTGATCTTCATTACTTGTTAAAAATGCAATCGTGCATGATTATGTATTTTATTTACCTTTAGCTTGCATCGGAAACTATTAGAAATAAAATTTACAACTCATGTCTGGAAAATTTAACAGATTTATTTCACTCTACAATTATTTCCAGTGTGCATGTGCCACTCCAATTTTACCATCCCTGGACCCTTGCAATTAATAAAATTCCAACTTTTGGCTTTCTTCGTATATGGTTATACCTTATACCTTGTTGGAAAAGTTTTATTTCTCATGATCACTTGCTTATAATATTGGAGCGAGGCAGTAAATACCACATAATATTGTCATGTCCTTCTAAACACAATGGGATTTGTTTATATACTGACACCAGCTCAGTAATATCGCCATGCATGTCTCATTTGTAAATTATTTACCTTTCAATCCTGGTTGCCATCCCCGCTTAAGGAAGATCTGCTAGTTACACTTCAATTCCATTACATGTCCCTATAATTTTCTTCCTTTCCTTAGTTGTTTCATCATGTTACCTGATGATTGGCCCCATTTGTTGCAGATTTTTACAAAACAACAATTTGACTGGTCAAATTCCAGCAAATCTCATTGGAAAACCAGGACTGATTGTCAGGTAAGTAAAGACCTATCTATTATTCATATTGTCATAATCAATTACAATTATTGCTTTGCTGACTTGTGCATATTTATCAACAGAACTTCTGGAAATAATTTCTTATCTCCTCCAGCACCTTGAAGGATTTGTTTAGTGCCTTCCATGGTAAAGATGAAGATTTTCCTTTTTTTTTCAAGAAATTTTTATTCTTTTGGTGCTTAGATCATTCTGATTCTCTGGTGGAAGTTCTTCATTGTTAACTCGTCAACTGAAGATCAAACTTCATCTCAGCCTCTTCTCTTGCTGGAGGTCATACGGGTTTCTTGTTTTAACTTGGAGTGTGCATGCTTTCAGATTGGTTCACCATATTAATGTTTGATTCTCAGTTCCTTGAAAAGTAGGATGTTATTTGAAATTGTATTATACATATCTTGTATAGGCATTATTCATTATTTTATTGAAAATTTTGCTTTGGTTGTTTTCATACTTTCGTAATTTGTATCATGTTCTGGTTTTAGTGTAATCACTGTATCTTATTGTTTTAGCTCATGTAGCGGCGACTGTTCATGTCTAATGTGGATCAATTTTCAGATATATAAAAGGAAAATAGTGGACCTTTAATGATGTAAAAATTACGTCTCATCATTTTTTAATTTCTTTTATATTTAATGGGAACGAAGCATAATTCTCTTATGGTGTGTTTATTGGAGGAGTGGTGCTATTTCCTCTGAAAATTGTAACCGAAATATCCTTCGAATATACAGTCAAATTTTTATTATATTTAAATTATTAACTGGTACATCGGTCCGAACATATTTCGGACAATCCTTTCGGAGGATGCAATCATTTTTTTATATTAGAGCATATGAAAAAAAATTGGTATTTGAGATAAGTGCAAAAACAAGTGATGGATATACTTTGTTTTCACTTCCATGATAGCGAGGGAAAAATCTATGTAAGCTAACTTCACATAATAATAATAATAAGGTTAAATACCTCTTTTCGTCTCTAATAACAATTTTTTTTTTAATTTTGTCCCACTTTAATTTTAGGTTTCAATTTGGTCTCTAATAATTTAAATCATTGCAATTTCGAACTTCCGTCTAAATGATTTAAACGGAGTTAACTGGTAGCCAGGTGGATGCCACGTAGGTGGATCCCAAAATAGTTGAAGACACCTGGAGCCAGAACGGCCTGTTCTGAAACCAGAACGGGCCGTTCTGGTTCCAGAATTTCGTGCACAAAAAACTACTGTACAAAGCATTTCAAACACTAGATTTGGTAATATTGTTAATGGGGATTGATAACTTCAATTGCTAAACATTTGGACTATACAGTGTATCATTAAGGATGATGTAATGTATCACTAAGGACAATGATAATAAGTTTTATTTTATTGTTAATCAAACTAGAGTGAAATAATTTCTTTGAACTTTTTTAGTATATGTTATGTTCTGAATTTTTGTTTTCAGTTTCTGAACCATGTTTCTGTCTTTGAATTTATGATATATTATGGATTTTTATTTTCAAATTTTGAATCACATTGCGGCATTTTAGTCAAAATTTTGAACTGAATAAGTTCAAATCAAAGAAGGATTTTGGAAGGTCTTATCTTATTTAATTTTTTTATAGTTTTATTCATAAATGAATATTAATTTATTGTATTTTTTGTTTATTACATTTTTATTAATATAGATATAATAAAAAAAATACAATAAAAGCATGAAGTTAGCGTTCTGGAATGGGCGTTCTGAATTCAGAATGGCCCGTTCTAACAGCAGAACGTCTCGTTCTGCTGCACTCATGTTGTGTTAAATTTGCATTTGGAACGGCCCGTTCCATTTGCAAAATTAACACATAACCTGTGCATGCAGAACGACCCGTTCTGCTTCTAGGTGTATTCATGCCACTTGGCATTCACCTATGCATCTACGTGGCATCCACATGACATTCACTTCAGCAGTGACATCCACATCAGCAGGAGTTAACCCCGTTTAAATCATTTGGACAGAAGTCCCAAATTGCAATGATTTAAATTATTGAGGACCAAATTGAGACCTAAAATTAAAGTGGGACTAAATTGAAACAAAAAATTGTTATCAAGAACGAAAAGAGGTATTTAACCTAATAATAATAAAAGTGAAATAACTTTATTGCTTTTGTTTCGCAAAATAACTTTTGTAGTTTTGTTTTAACCATTTTCTTCTGCAAACAAGTAGATCCTTAATTTCATTTTTTTCTAACAGCTAACCAAGCGGCTCAAGCAAATGTGAAACCTGACGGTTATGGATAATTTAAAAATATTTTTGAAAGTTTCTCTACTAAAAAATATTATTTATTTTTCATAAAAAAGTTTTAAAAAAAATATTTCTAATTTATATTTAAACAAACTCTAATTTGATTATGCTTCTTATTAGGAAAAATACTGCACTATTAACATTTTAGTCTAATTTCAAAAATATTTTTTAGTAGCCAATTTTAAATAAAAGATACTTTTCGTTAGGAGTGGTCAAAATAATTGAACCCGGTCGATTTTCAACAAAAATGATTCTAAAAGACGTTTGAATGGTTCATTTTGGATAACGAGTTAAATAAATTAAAAAATTTGGATAACTGTGGCCAATATTGGGTGGATGCAGGTGAGAATATATATATTTTTTCCTTCAAACCCACCCAACCAACCAAGTCTTTACAATAAGGCTAAGCCATTTGTCTATAGTATAAAACACAATATTTTCGGACTTTATATCAAATTCAGAATTTATATAATTATTACCTCAATCTGTTAGTATTAAGCACCAAAACCATTCTGATTTTTTAGTGCATTGAGTAGTAAACCATTGACAATTTTCAATAGAAAAAATAAACATTACTCCAAGTATTATGCTTACAACTCTTCATTTTGATATAATATTCCCTCATCCTTGTATTAAATCAACTTAGTGAGAATCACTAGACGCTAAAAAAAAGTTATTTTTCTCCATGCATCAATTGATCAAAAATATTAGTGTTGAGATGCAAGCAAAGTTCTACATCGTTCAAACAAGAGGATGGACATGAGTTTATATGTTGAGAGGCCTTTTGAGTGATGTCTAAAAGCAAAACCGTGAGGGCTTGAACCCAAAGCGGACAATATCTCACTAATGTGGAGACATGTGTATATGTGTGGTAACCCCTCGGTGCACATCACAGTGGCATCAGAGCTCGCGGACAATAAAGATGGGTAATAATGGTGTGTCTAAAGTGATTGGTGTTGGTGATGTTTGCCTGCAAACCAATATGTAAATGCAGTTGTTACTTAGAGGAGTCAAACATGCTCCTGATGTTCGTTTTAATTTGATCTTTGTGCAGATGCTTGATGATGGTGGTTATGATAACCACTTTGGTTCTGGAAAGTGGAAACTCACCAAAGGTAACTTGTTGTGGTTAGAGGGGAGAAAAATTCTAAATTGTATTGGACTAAAGCTTTGGTTGCTAAGGACAGTGTGAATGCTATGTATATGGAGACATCTTTGTGGCACCGAAGGCTTGGTCATATCAGTGAAAATGGGCTTAATTGCTTGGCTAAAAAGAATGTTCTTTTGGGATTGAAGAGTGCAGAGTTGGAGAAATGTTCTCATTGCATGACTGGTAAACAAACCAGAGTATCCTTTAATAAACATCATCCCTCAAGGAAGTCAGAGTTGTTTGAATTGGTGTATTCTAATGTTTGTGGCCCATTGAAGGTAAAGTCATTTAGTAGTGCACTTTACTTTGTTACTTTTATTGATGATTGTTCTAGAAAGCTATGGGTCTATGCATTGCAAAGGAAGGACCAAGTGCTTGAAAAGTTCAAAGAATTTCATGCTTTGGTTGAGAGGCAGTCAGGCAAGAAGCTGAAATGCATTCGTACTGACAATGGTGGTGAGTACCATGGACCCTTTGATGTCTATTACAAGCAGCAGGGTATTAGACATGAAAAGACTTCTCCTAAAACTCCTCAGTTGAATGGTTTAGTGGAGAGGATGAACAAGACATTATTTGAGAGGGTGAGATGTATGCTCTCGGATGCTAAATTACCCAAGCATTTTTGGGGTGAGGCACTATACACGGCAGTGCATGTTATTAATCTCACTCTTACTGTTATTCTTGACAGTGAGGTGCCGGACAAAATTTGATTTGGCAAAAATGCTAGTTATGATTACTTGTGTGTCTTCAGTTGTAAGGCATTTGTTCATGTTCCAAAGGATGAAAGATCCAAATTGGATACGAAGACAAGATAATGTATCTTTATTGGTTATGTTCAGGATGAATTTGGCCACAGGTTGTATGATCCTGTTGAAAAGAAGCTTGTTAGAAGCCGTGATGTGCAGTTCATGGAAGACCAAACCATTGAAGATATTAACAAGGTGGAGAAGACTACACCCGAGAAAGATAATAATTTGACTGATGGTAATCCCATGCGGTTGCCTGATCACAATCTGGATAATGTTGAGATTGATGCTCAGAATGATGAGCAACATGGTGATGTTAATGATCAACAGAATGGAGAAATATTAGAAGTTACAATTGATGATGCTCAAGAGGAACATGATATGGTACATGATGATGATCTTGATAATGCTCATGAATTACCACAACTCCCTCCTAGGAGGTCCAACAGGTTGAGACACTCGTCTTCCAGGTATTCTTCTGATGAGTATGTGACCTTGACTGATCAGAACCAAGTTGAAGGCACAAAAGAGGCCCATATCGGAAAGAGAGGTCTCGAAAAGCTTGATGGATGAGGGGTTTAAGCAAATGGAGGTGGCCAATTATGGGTATTGTCGGTGGGCTTGGAGGGTACTTCAAGTGGGCCCTTGGTTTGGTTTTTCTGTCAAAGAGTTTGACAAGGAAAATAGAAAGGAAGACGATGAGAACTAATAAGAGGGACTGAACAATCATCTTGGTTGTTGTTTAATTAGGAGATGAAAATGGAAATGTGTGGATTCAACATGATTTTCCAGGTTACTACCAATTGTTTTTTATATCTATGCACGAAAAATTAGATATGATGCATTATTGCTAATTGTGTTAGTTGGCATATTTGGTACCACCGTACCAAAGTATTGAATATAAAACATGCATTAAAAATTTGAGAAGATGCATCATTGCAAATTGTGTGTAGTTGGCATATTTGGTACCATTATTGAATGTGTGTTAGTTGTGCATTATTGTTCGTTGGGTATTGGACTCTCTTCCAATGTGGAGAAAAGGCCCAAAATTGAGAAGTCCAATTTTGTCTCACTTAAAAACCAAGTGGAGAGGGATCTCTTAGGGCATAATAAGAGAGATAGAAAATTACAAAGCCGTTAGGGAGAGAAAGAAGAGAGAAAGAGAACAGAAAATTTTGTCCGTATACATAGAGCAATTTCAGTAAAATTGCGATCCTCACTTCGTTTACCGTTGGATCGGTTTGGAAATTTGACAGAAGGTTCTTAACACGGTTATCTTCGTTTTGACCGTTGGGATCATGGATTGGAAGTCTATGGTTGGAGAAATCAATTTCGTATAGTTGCTCTAATTTGAGGTTTCTTCTTTTTTATTCTTCAATTGGAAGACCTTGTTGCTTTAATATATTGGCTGGTTGTATGCATTTGTTTATGCATTTGATTAAACTCTCTTATACCCTTATTTGATCATAGTGGAGCTTGATTGACTGGCTTGTGCCCGTGGATTTTTACTTCTCAGGGTTTTTCCATGTTAAAATATTTGTCTCTTTGCGATTATTTTTGTCATTTATTTGTTTTGTTACTCCTCGTTAGTTTTTGCAAGTTGGGGGAATTATTTCCGCTGTGTACTTTGGTACTTTTGAATATTCTGTTGTTGTTTTCCCTATCACAGTGGTATCAGAGCCATGGTGACCGGCTCGACGAGTATGATGGCTGGTAGGTGGATCAAGTTTGGGATCCTTGTGTCGAAAGTCTTCCTAACGGTAGATCCATATGGAAGAGAAGCTTCCTAGTAACATGGAGAGTTAGGAAGCGTGTCCCGCTATCATGAGGGAGGTCATGATGGAGCGGCGATGCAAGCACTCCGAGCGTGAGTGAGCTCTGTGGGGCCACCATCGGATAATACTCGTAGTTTTCGCTGTAGGAGAGAGGGTAAACCGTGGTCCTTTGTTTAAGGGGAGGATTGTTGGGATGCAAACAAAGTCCCACATCGTTCAAACAATAGGATGGACATGAGTTTATATACACACAGTTGTCTCCATTAGTTGAGAGATCTTTTGAGTGATGTCCAAAAGTAAAACCGTGAGGACTTGAACCCAAAACAGACAATATCTCACTAACATGAAGACATGTGCATATGTGTGGTAACCCCTCAGTGCACAATAATTAGAACCACCAAATGTAGTTAGTTAAGTTGCACTTAGTACAACTCCATGAGAAATTGAACAAACCAAATTTGTTAATTTTATGCATATCTCTCATTTCTAATGTTTACATTTGGTTGAGGACAACTACTCCATCTAAAAAATGAAAAATTGCTCCAAGCTTGATGTCAAACATGGGTGATGAAGTTCACTGTATATACCCACTCGATCAACTCCCACCCGATTCACTTGTTATCTAGTTTCTTATTCAATACTTAGTTTTTTCTTATTCGGTTTGCTACAATTATGCATATTTTGGCCCGAACCCATTCGTACCTGAAGATCACCCCTTATGCAAAAAATTATAATAAAAAAATGAACCCATGTAAAGTTCTTCTCACCAGTTTATTTTGAAATTATTTATAATAATTTTTTTTAAAAAATGAATAGTTTTCTTGTTAAAAAAATAGGGTTAAAACACATTTTTAGATTCACTTACTTTATCTTTCAGTTTATATAATCTAAAATAAACTTTTTTACTTTTTATACTTATATTTTTTAATCATTTTTAATCTTTATATTTAAGATATATTTTTTAGTCTATATATTTATTTTTTTTAATCCTTTTAGTCTTTGTAGTTTTTTTTTTATAAACTTTGTCTCTTTTGTTGACATGACAAGGATAATTCAAAATTTGTTATCCAATATCAAATATTTTGTTGGAATTACTTTAAATTAAATCTCATTTTGTTTCATGACTCTTTTGTACTCTCACTTATAATGTTCATGGTTGAGATATCTTTTTTTTCACTTTCACAAAATTGAAGGTCTTTACTATATTAATACATGACAAATAACGTTATAAAAAAATTAATGATAAGAATTAAAAAGATTACAAAACTGCAAGTACAAGAATTAAAAAGATCTATCTTAAATTATATGGACTAAAAAGTATTTTAAAAGATATGTATAAGGACTAAAAATGTCTATTTTAAACTATAGAAATTAAAAGATAAAATAAATAAAATTATAAGAAGTAAAAAAAATATCTTAACCACCAAATAATTAATATAGGCAACATGATTATGAATACGATTTTAATAATTTACAATGTTATATTTTAAGTAAAATTTGTATTGATTACATGTAATTTGTGGGATCAAATAGCAAATTTACTTTTCATGAAACTTTAGATGATTTAATCCCCAAAGTTTTAAATAATGAAAATAAGAGAGTATAATTGTCAACCTTTCTTTGAATTTGTAATTAAGTAGTTTTACTTTTTTTAATAAATTGTTGGGCTATGAAGTAAGGAATGGCAACAACACATAATGAGCAAACTTTAACACATATCACGTGAAAACATAAGACGTTTGCATTTGAACTCTATATCACAAATACTACAAATTTTAATAGTAGTAATATATATATATTAAATTCTTAAAAAAACATAATAGCTATAAAAAAAACTAAAGCATTAATATTCTTGTATAGAAATTAACATCTTTATTATGCTTTTATTTACATATTAAATCTTTGCTTACTTTATCAAATGTTTATTTTAATAATGATAACAAAGTTAGAATTTAAAATTTTAAGTATATTATCCAAACGTTCTTACCAAGTGTTATTTATACATCTCAAAATGAATGTATGTAAAGAGTTATAATCATTTAAAAGAAAATGAAACTACAATTCTCTATTGCAACCTCAAATGCATAACTTTCAACTTGTTTATAATCTGGCTTACGTTTTAAATGTATTGATAATTGTTTATAGTTTGGTATAAGGCTATAATGCAATAATAATGACAAAAGAGAGGGTTACTAAAAATGACATCGATGTATAAAGTTAATAATTAAAATTAATTCATATGTTAAGAGTTGCTCAAAAGCTAAAAAAGGTACTCAACCAAAGAATAAGAATTTGCAGAGGAATTAAAGTTTGAGCACTTAAAAAATATTCACATATCAACTTACTATTATTGTGATTTTGATAAATAAATAAAAAATTCCAGATCCACTTTTATATATATTATATATTCCTACTTAATTCAGTCTAAATTAGTTAAATGTGCAATGTATGTGATATTTTAAATATCTTCGATTTGAGGACCAAAATTAGAAATTGAACACGTTACATACTCATACATCTAAACCTTTGCGCTATATAATCCAAAGGTTGTTCAAATTTAGTGACTTAGTGATGAAACATTTTAGTCATTACCTTATTTTCTAATCTTTTAATTTCGATCTAGTCTTGATTATTATTGAACTCCATTCAATGAATCCTACTACCATGAATGCAATTTATTGTTCGAACTAGTCAGAAGATTATTGCTTAATTTGCTAATGTAAAAGGATTTCTGTCACATGTCAGTTGTTACTCTTTGAATTCAAATACTGAAGACAGTGATAAAAATTTTAGAGGCCTTTATGCGTACACTGAAATTGCTCTCCCTGACTCACTCACTGTTTTCTTTCTTTTAAAAGTATTACCACTGATTAATAATTGCGTCCGTTGATCAGATGTATGTGGCTGACAGTTTCCCATGTGGGACTCGCATGTTGAGGAAACTCTGCATATCTTTCTAGTACATTAATCAATACAAGCAAAACTAGCCAGTAACTACTCACCTCTACTAATGCCGAATGCACAATCCAATGATTATACAAGTCAGAATTTACATTGTAATTTCTCAGATCCAGCCAAATTAACACCTAATCTACCATGGCAACATAATTGGTTGGAACAAATATAAGAAATTAATAACCAAAACAAAAATAAACAAACTTATTCAAAAGGATCAAAGACTAAATAAATAAACACAAGCTTGGCATGCAATCTTCAAGTTCAATTTAATTACCTCTCTAATTTTCCTTTCTTGAGTGGAAAAAGAGGAGGCAAGGCACTGCTTTTCATCTGTGTGCAAATTGGCACGTTAATCATTGGTCTAATTCTAATAGTAGCTGACCTTGTTCTCTCCAACCCTTTCTTTACCCTCTTCACTTGCTGCTCCTTATTATTATTACTCCTTGACCCTTCTTTCCCTTCTTTGGCAGCTACATCACCAAGTGAGCTTGCAGAAGAGGAAGAAGATGAGGATGAAGAAGAGGGTGATAAAGAAGAAGCACGTTGCTTCTTCAACCTTAACAACTCTTTCCATAGAACAGTGCACTTTGGTGGCCTTGGAGAAGGGTCATCATCCACAAACCAATTCACTCTACTATTACTACTATCTTCTTTGTTGCTCACCACTACTATCTCCTCTTCTTCCTCCAACTCCTCTTCCTCTCCCTCTTTGACTTTGAGGTTGATCTTGTTGAGCTTCTCTAGATGCTGCATCTGCCAGAAGGGAAGGAGCTTCCCTTCAAAGAAAAGCTCATCAGCAGTTAACACTGTGTTGTTGTTGTTGCTCAAGTTGTTTGAAAGGAACTCAAACTCAGCATTCCTTGCTCTCTCACGTTCCTTCTCTTGATCTCTCTCATACTCAGCGTTTGGACTGATGGAGATGAAGTTGTTCTCATCTAAGAACTCTGCTGAGAAAGATATTCTAGGACTTGAAGGTGCATCGCTAGATCTGGGGTTGGTCTGAATAGGTTCAAGAGAAACCATGTTTGTGCTGTTTTTTGGGATACGGAGAGAGATAGATGAAATATGATGCTGAGGTTGTGCCTAGGCCTTACTCTAGCATATGCATGAGAATTGAGAACTTTAAAGGGGGAGAGTGTGCTTGCATTTAATTTTTAATCTCTCTTCTTTTCACTGTCAGGACGGTGAGATTATAATAATCAAATGGTCTGGTAAACCCGAAACAAGTGATTTAAGGTTCTGTTTAGAATATAGGGACAGCACATGGACGCCTTGGGAAGTAAAAGACAAAAGCTTTTTCATTAGCAATTCTTTGCATGCAAGTCTCAACACCCGTGTCTGCATGCTCTAATATTTTATTTTGTTTAATGTGTGCGCGCTTTATTTCTTTCTTTTTATTTTCCCTTTCCAATGGAAAATGACTACAAAATTTTCAAATTTATGGGGGGTGTTACCAAGTACCATAATTTTGTGTGTTTTATGTAATTACTAATGTTGTGCAGTGGTCTAAGGTCTTTATCAGCCTAATAATTCAAGACTTACACACTCCTAAATAGATTTAGTATAGTAATGTCACTTCTAACTTTGAAGTTCGACTATATCAAGCAATAAGAGATTGGTGGGGTTAGAACAGAATCTAAAATTCAAATATTTGAAATGTCAAAAGAAATTAGTTTGGCTGAAAAGACATTATACAAACATTGGATTCCCTTAACTGCTAAAAAAGAAAAAGAAAAAAAAGAACAAAAAAAAAAAAAAAAGAACAAAAACTGTTCAAATTAAAATTAAAATTTACCTGAAAATTGGAGGCTGAAAGAATTATGAATAAAGTGGATTTGTAAGTATTAAAAAAGTTGTGAAAAAAGTGAATTAGCTCATAAAATGAAATGACAGCCCCATGTGATTACATCAGTGGTAAACATTTGCAAGATCAAGTAATTGTTTAGTAGTTATATAATGGTCTCTGCAGTACAGAAGAACATACACAAAAAACAGAAGGAGATCAAATGATTTGAAGTTAAATTAAGGCTTGACAAATAAGTTTAAGGATCCTCCTGATATATTAAAATTGAACTACTTGGTCAAAGGAAGATAGGATTGTTATTTTGACTCCACCTGCATGCAGGGACTTAACATGGAGGAGTCCCAAGCATGTGGGCACATGAGAGTAGTTTCTGAGCATGTGACAACTGGGGTTAAAGATTGAAGAGATATTAATGAAATGACCAAGTTACCCTCAAAACAAGTTGGTCACAGCTGGTTCAGTTTGTTATATTTTGTATGTGCAAATGAGTTTATTGTCCTAAGAAAAGGAAAACAATTTGTGTGTATCGTGTTCATCTCTTGAAAAAGCTTCCGTTAAGATTTGGGTAGGCTCTAATTAATTCCTGACAGCTAATAAACATTGGGGTAAATCTTTCAATTATTACACATTGGCTTCTTTTGTTTATAAGTACATTATCCTTGGGCATTCTGTGGTCCTGCCGTGGACTATTATTGAAGTAGACAATAATGTTTAAGTGACAGCAATGTGAAAAAAAAAAAAAAAAAAAAAAAAATTAAACATGTGATTTGTCATTAATTTATGTCACTAATTATGCAGATCTTTACCAAAAGCAGTGAGTTCCACCAAATTCAAGAATAATTAATGCTTCACCTTTCTTACACGTAGACATCTTGATCAGATTTCACATTTCACCTTTATTCTTGTAACATCTAATGTTCACAAAGGATTTTTATCTAAAATTTGAGAATGACATGCCATATGTTTTGAAGCACCTCGAGTTATTATCCTCAACAACTGAACTGCTACATGTGCTTTACAGTTCAAGTTTTTTCATAGTGCCAGCAAATTCTTTATCTCATTCTACAGTTCTGCAGAAAGACTAAGAAGGGAAGGGGAGAGCCTAGCCCTCAACTGTAAAGATCAATGCTCTGAGGCACATTGACCTGTATCATTCAAGTAGGGCCCTTAGAATTGATGCATGTACTATCCAACTTAGTCAGTCACAGACAAGAGTAAAGAGTTATGTAACAAGAACTTAGTAGTACCTTCCAATTCAGCTTATATGGGATAGTGAGGCATGTGTTGCTTTGAGAGAAAGAGGGGCCACACATTTGTCTTGTTGGTGTGGAATTAACATGAAGGGACTTGAAAGTGATACCAAAACTAGTTGCACCGTGCACGTTTTAAGAGGAAGAATAGCCATAGTTTATACAAATGGACAGAACCATTGACCTGTAGTATTCTTGAACTACACAATAATTTATTTGGAGGAAGGGACCATAGACCTATAAGACCATTCTATTACTGAAGAGTACATCGATCAATCGATAGGATTATTTCAACTTAACTAGTGATTTAAAGTGAGTAATGTGTAGTTGTGTTAAATACTCCCAAAGAGAGTTTTATTATCCCTAATGATCATAGTTTACTCTCAAATAGGATTGTACGTATTCGGTAGATGATCCATGTATAAAAATAAAAATAAAAATAAAAATAAGACCATTCTATTGAATTAAAGATGATTCATCACAGCTGTTATAAATAAAAGAGAAAACAAACAAAGCAATGCTTTGATCTGACTACAATTTAAGTTATTATGCACATAATAAACTAAGCTGGATGCTGTCAAGGACTGGTATTAGGTGGGTTTATTAATGTTCTGTATCTTAATTAAATGCGAAATTTTAGCCTTACTTTTTTAGCACAAGCTTTGTCTTGATTATTGATATTTCCGTGAATAAGTTATGATGCACATAATAAACTGAGCTGCATGTGTTGTGATTCATTATTAGCTTATGAATGACTCTACTTAACTGTCCTTAAAATCATTGATCTGTACTGCTGTCATAGCTCAAACAGGTGGAACAACGAATGCGAAGATAGATAAAAATCAGTGTTAAAAAATATAGATCCTCAATTGTTAAATGAAATAAAAAAAAAATGTTAAATATTATAGTTTTGTTCTCTTAAAATATCACATTTTAGTCCTTGGACTTCTTTTTTACATAATCTTGGGCTTTCGTATATTTTGTCCATTAAATGTCTATGTTGCTTTAAAAATGAAAGATTAAAGATCGTGATATGTAGACAAAATAAATGAGAAAGTCACAAAATTTAGAAAGATAAAAAGTGTTAATAAAATATTTTTTTAAAAAAATGGAATATTATATGAACAAATATCATGATGATAAAGTGTTTTAAGAAGAGGACGAGAATGGGCTTGTTTGAGTACTTTTGGCAGGGTCAGCCCGAATGGTGTCTAGAAGTTGACATTGAGTGGGGTCATGGAAATTAGAAGTTGAGTCATGAGTGAGTATGGATTGGGATTAGGATTAGGATTAGGATATGATCCATTGACAAAGCTTCACCATCGAGCTTGACTACGGAGTTAGGCAGGCTTGAGGCTTGTTAGGAGTGTGTCACATTCCATTGTCTTTCCGACATTATAAATCAAAACCACCAAGAAGAGTCCAGGGGAGAACAAATTATGACTACACAAGCATTCACTACAAACCCTTCTTCAGATACATTATATTCATTTCACCCAATAGGAAAAAAGACTATATTAAACGTGTTCCTCTAAGTTCTCAAAAATTAATTATCAGAAAAATTAGTATATGAGTATCAAAATATTCATTTCAAGTAAAAAAATATATATTATATATAAGGATAAATGCAAATTGAAAAAAAATAAAAAAAATATTAACAACAAATTCGCTAACTCTTTATCTAACTATATTAGTTTAAATTTATAGTAGTTTTTTTTTAGCTAGAAGATGTCTATCTCTCCCAAAAATATTTTTGATATTTTATAAAAAAGTATAATAAGATGTTTATAAATTATTATTTAAATAATAATTTATTAATTGCATTAATTTTTTAAACTTAAAAATTTTAAATGCATGTATTTTTATATTATACCTAATATTAGTATTTTAGTTTCTGCAATGCACAAGTTAAATATTTATTTTATATAATTTAAATTTATTATGAATAAATATTTTTAAATATATAAGTTATATTATAATTAAAATTTGTAATAAATAAATATTTTTCAAATAAATTGTATTTCAGGTTTATAATAAATAATTTATATTGTTGTGTAAAAATATTTTTGAGTTTTTTTTGTGTAAAAAATGTTTTTAATTTTTAAGCATTGATATTTAAAAAAAACGTTAAAATTTAATTTAAAATAAAAAAATTGATTTATTTTCTTTCAAGATAGTTATTTTGATTTGTCTATAGAAAGAATTTTTAAATTTATAATAAATAATTTATAATATGACAAGAGAATATTTTTAATAATTATATTGATAATTTATTTTAAATGATTGATACTATAAGAAATATTACATATCATGATATATAAAAGCGTTACTATAGATACAATATATGTAAATATAAATTTATTTTATATATTTTTACACATAATTGATTTTAGTTGAGATTTAACACCATATATTATATTATTATAGTTTATGTCTATACTTTAAAAATATAATTATGATTAAAAATAATTTTTAATAATAAATATCATGTCATTATCGAGTATGTGTCACTACAAAGTAAATTTTCTTTTTGTAATGAGAAATTTAATTTAGAAAGAATATGGAAAAGATTGATCAAAATAGACAAGTTAAAAAAATTCCTAAATATTTTTATCAAAGAAAAACTTCTAAAAGCACATTTATATATAAAATAATTATTCTTGTTTATATAGAGTGGCTTGAAATTTGTAATAACTAAGTATTTTTGAACATGTAAATTATATTTTAGATTTATAAAAATAATTTATATTGTGATGCATTACTATTTTTTAATTATTAATAATTAATTTTAAACAATAGACATATAAAAACAGATTTTTAATTATTGTGACAATTTACAACAATTTTGAAGAGTGTGAGGAATATATTTTTGAGTTGCACCACACCTGTTGCAAGAAGCGTTAAAGGAAACGCGACAATGAAAATGAAACAAGTTAGTATGAAAATTTTCATTCAAGATAAGCCAAGAAAAATGTTTACCGCAACTTGAGTTTTTAGACCCAAGACCAGTTTCCATGTATTGTGGGCAAGTCACTGGTAAGAACAACTAGATGAATAGTAATTCGATCCATCAGCAAACAAAAAACTTGGAGAAACCCCTTTTAAGGGTCGAACTTGAGATGTTTTAGCTTTAGTAAATAAGGGGTAGTCATAG